GAATGCAAGACGCAGATAAATCAGTTACATTAAATATAGACTGTGAACTGTGTTTAGTTGATTGTTAATAGACCAGGGTGCACTCTTTATGTTCGTAACAAATGTTTTGGATACGTAAAATACTTACATGTATGGATACGTAAAATACTTACATGTAACATTCATTTTAAAAACTTGGCTAACAGTTTCATATTCATTCTTAGCTGTACAACGGTATGTTCCAGAAGCAGCTCGGTTGATGTTTGGAAAATTCCAAGTTGGACCCTGGTGTAATACTTCACCATTACTACCATCCTCCAGGACTCTGTTCCAGGTGATGTTTGGTGTTGGTTTACCAGTTACTTCGCAAACCAAAGTCCTGTTTGATCCTTCAAGCACAGTCTGGTCACGGCTGACATTAATTAGCTTGACAGGAACTGAAAAAAGAGATACAATGACAGTAACGCATCCCTGACACTCAAACAGGTGGTGTGGCTTTGCCAGGTGCTTTACAGAACAACTCTAGTTTTGAGTTTTCACGAGAAATCTGATCACAAAGTGGACTGGAAATAAGGGGTGCCCGCCCTTCCTAAACATAGAAATAGAACATAAGTCTGAAGTCAGAACAAATGCGAATGCAGGCGAAGCAGCAACGGATGCAGAAGTGCTAAGAAAAGTGGTGGGTGGGGGGAATTCTTCATCTAACCAGGACGGAGGACGTGCCTTCTGGTCTTGCCCTTAGATCCAGCATTCACCACGAAAGTGTTTACGCCTAAATAAGATCTCTTAGTACTAGTGGATCAATCACGACAGGTCTCTGGCCAGGAACTTAGGTTTCGAGCAGCAATTTTGTTGTGGTGATACTTGCTACCTAAATATTAAAAGTTTACACGTGGGGGGAAGCGTAACTGAACAAAGACTTGAACAGAGCTTTTCGAACTCGTGATCACTAACAATTCATCAAGTTTAAACATGGGAAATCATGGCCGTGATGGTGTTTGGATGTCTGATTTTTTTTCTACGATTTTATTTCTCCGTTTTCTCCTTGGTGTTAGTATCGACTGAGAAGATAAATCAAATACTCAAGAGAGTGTTTGATCACATTACCAAACACCTCAAAGTTCGCCAAAAATACCCCGCTACGCGTCGTATTTTTAACTCTCTCCTCAGTGATTGGAAATTTGGTCAAACACGATATTTCGTGTTTGATATATTACTAACAGGATTGTTCTCACACTGGATCAAGTCTCTTTTTTAAGTGGTACATATCACTGACTTCTTTCTTTCTAGCAACGGTTTATGGAACGGAACATTAAACTTTAACGAAGAAAAGGGCAAATTATTAAACGAAATCGTTCGTGTATTACTGAAATGTTTGAAAATCTAACGAAACTTACAACTTTTTCTGTCACGAAAACATCACCATAATCGTGTGAATTTACTGTCTACCCCTTGGGTAAATTAAAGCAATTGGTCTTTGACTGCCCATGAACCCCTCTCTTTGAGTTTATTTCTAGTGAGAGCTCAGCTGATTGAATTCGCAGCAAGGGAAAGGGTTGCTCACGTCTTTCAATTAATAAATCCAAAGAGTTAAAGAGAAAGGTTAAGGAGGACGTTAGCGAGACTGAGATGGAATAGTTACTGGCCTAATTTCTGCTTGCTTATTGATGTTATGCGTTCTAATGGCTACTCCATAAAAAACCTTCTTTTTAGCAGTTAAGGACTATCAAAATTTTTCAGGAATATAAGCATAAATTCAAGGAATTCTTCATATGGTAGGTATGTAGGTAGATAGGAAGGTAGGTAGGTAGGTAGGTAGGTAGGTAGGTAGGTAGGTAGGTAGTTAGGTTGGGCAAATTCTGCGTACGAGCCAAGTGGCCTATCATGCCGGAGCTTATCCCGGTTTCTGTAGGATGAAGCGATGAAGCGATGAAGCGAATATAAAAAAAAATTCACCGTGCCGTTTTTGAATTATAAGCCCCTAAAGCTTAACTAAGGGTGTTTTAAGGAAGTCGCACTGTTGCTATGGTAATCTATCGTGTAACGAAAATGATAAGAACTTGTTAACCAGTGATTGGGCAGTTTTTTTAATACCATGATTGTAGCATCAAGTGATAAAGAATGGTTATACCGACCCATCAAAATCTAAGTGCGGGACTGGTTTCCACTCGTCAGGAAATATGCCATCGCATAACGGGCCTGAAATAATATCAGCACACTCACGAATCAACTTAGCAGAGATGTTGTCTAGCCCTGTTAGTAGCTTTAGTTTTAGATAATCTATTTAGAATGGTAAGGATAACACTGGTAGTAGTTGCTCGTAAACAGAATTTGTTGTAATTTTCAGGACTATTGTTTAAATAGGTGGACTCTTCGTCCGAAGTAAAAGGTATTTCGCGGGCTAGTCTGGGCCCTATCGTTGAAAAATGTTCGTTAAAGGCGTTAGAAATCTCGTTAGAGTTACGGATAGAGATGTCATTTACTTTCACTTCCTTTACTATCTGGT